GCATCGATTCAAACACATGTAAGCCTGGGCTTAGGAAGCGCAGAACGTAACCCCGTCACCCTGCGAACCTGAACCTATCGGCTATTGCAATTTGATCATGCCTTTTCGACGCGAGGAGAAGCCCCAAGGGCCCACACACCAAAGCATCCGCCACCCACCAATTAAAGTAATTTCTACGTGCTGCACAATACGCACCCGGAAATCCAATGTACTCCCCGGGCTGAGGGACAACCTCGGCAGGTTTTCTGGTACGACAGTCAACCCCCAACTGCAACAATCGCCTCGGACCTCTTCCAATAGCTGAATTCGTGACGGTACTCTTCATTTATGCACCTCCTTCATATGCCTCTACGGTATATGTTTAAATTTGAAACTGTAGTCAGCCCAACCTTACAGCAACGATATCGGCAGCGTCGCTGCGCAGCTCCGTTCTCCGTGTATTTTTCTCCGGGCAGCCTGAGTTGTGGTGCATCCTATATATATGCTTAATACGTTACTAGGAGTAAGTAGCATTTACATAGAAACGGGCCCGGAGCCCGGAAATGGAACGGGTCGCTGACGTCCCAGCACACGGCGAGTCCAATCGGGACCCTTCTGACTTTGCTCTTACCAATAAGAATCTTGTTTGTTGCTACGTGTGCCGCCTAATCAAGTCGCGCAACCAGGTGCGGTGTTTGTTGCGGTGGAGCGTTGAGGACGCTGCTCAGCCGATTCCCTTTTGCAGTTCCATGATTCGGGTTGTGACAACTGTAAAAATCTGTTTGGACATAGCATTTCATTTGAGGACTACACGACACCAAACTTCTCGGGGTAAGGACTGAGGCTTTTAAACAAATCGGGGACTTTGTTCTTACGGGCGAGGATGGAGGCAGTGAGAGGATTCATAAGCACACGTCTTGTAGCCTGGCGTCGTATAACCACAGCACCTGCACAGCCCATGGAGTGTACGACAGTTGCGACGATCGTACAAGCTTCGGCTGCTTCAGTCATCAACTTCATGCGAGCGGTGATAACATCGCAGAGCCTTGCGGCCTTGACAGCTGCGGCGCCGCCCCTGGTAGCTAGTACGGCAGCGGCAGCGGCGCCAGCAGCGACGGCGGCGCGGAGAGTCCTAAGCGCCAGCGTGACGAGCGTGCGAGCTTCATGCGGCGGCGGCGGCGGCGTTGGCGGCGGCGGCGGCCTCCGAGGATTCTCTGCGTCGAGTGGTGCTACGACCAGTTTAGCGACGGCGGGAGAGGAGCTCGCGCATACCGAGGCGACGGCGGCGGCGGCGGCGCCGTCACCGCTTCTGCCCAGTGCATCGCCGCCGTACGTTAGCAACTGCTGCTGGCATGAGGTTCAAGCAAACCTGGTTCTGGATCCGGTTTCAACGGAATGGAATCTGGTGCTCGCGTTCCATGACGTCACGTCGTACGTGCAGGCTGAGCTGGAGGTTAGACAGGTCTTAGATG